CGCACACAAGGAATAAAAGTTGTAATAGTCTGCGCGAGAGTGCGGTACCACAATAACTTAAAATGTGGTTTCTTTTAGTTTTCACGTTTCGTAAAAGCCAGAATGCAATACAACAACGGTAAACATACAGTAAACAATCATTGAGGGCAATTACCAAACACATTTTTTTAAGGAAAATTAACAAATGGCAAGCTATTTTGAACATGAAATGTAAATTTCAATAATGAATAAATGAATGAACGGCAAGCAATCAAACATAATACAAAATAAAGCAGAAACAACAAAAAACACAGATTCAAGGAAAATGTTGCCTCTGATGAAATTTGCCTGAGGCTAAGATGGAGCTGGGCATCGAAGGTTATGTTTTTTGTTTTTTAGCAGTCTTCAGTTGACCTTCCTGCAGTCGCCAAGTACGTATTATTTTTTCGGTAGTTGTTGGACCGAAATGCCTTGCTGCTGCTCTGTTTCATTGCACTTTGGCATAGTTTAACATTCCTAGTTTATCCCAAATTGTATAGTTTAATATCTTGTTTCCTGTAGTCATATTTTCCAGGGTATTTTTTTAAAACAAATAGTTTTAAGCACAGATACCAACACATGTGTCGGCTGAGTCAAAGAAAGTCTATGTAAAGAAGGAAAGGCTCCAAGACATCATGTGACTGTCGAACCTGTTCGAACTTCGAAACAAGCTTCGAGCTTTGGCGCTTTTTGGCAACAGATATTTCACGCATACGCAAAATAATTATGGCAGATGTAGAAAAAGTTATGTGTGTCTAGACCTTTATCCGGGCTAAAAATAGCATGCAGTATTGAAAGTTAACCTGTGTCTTCACGTATAAGACGCAGGTAACTTTTTTGAGATCAAATTTAGGAAAAAAAGTGCGTCTTACATGCCCTCAGATATGGTATATCTGGTATTTTCTCCTAATGATTGCTGCTTCTCATTTTATTATATCTCCAGGTTAGATTAAACATTTTCTAGTATTTTAGATCTACCTTTTTATTTCAATTTCATTTTCTGAATAACATAATTTATTAATTGTAAGTTTTTCATTCATATTTGGTTAGCATTCTGGTGTATTTATAGCATTTAAAAATAGATTTGTGGTGATTTTTTATCACCACTTCACTCCGTCAGAAGGTCACAAATTTCAGCCTACAGTTAAAACCAACTTTATTTAACATTTTAATAAAAGGAAAGCATTTCTCTCAAGAGGCTAAATATTCAAATGTTGAGCCAATGTCAGACATTGGCAATGAACAGGCAAAATAAGGTGAGGAGGAAGTAAGTCATGGCAAATGTTCAAGTTTTTATCCTCGCTCTATGGTGAGTACTTACGCAAAGAATATTGCCATTTACTGCAGTGTGGATTTCTGTCTTGGGTTAATTTTAGGTAAATTTGCATTTGTGTTAATGGTTAAGTTAAAACAATAATATATTTTATATTTCTTCCTTCAAGAAACTCACCAGTAGCCAAGCATAAAATTGCTGAACACTGGTTGCAGAGTTGCCAACTCTCCCGATATAGGCAGGAGACTCCCGATTTTCGACTGCTCTCCCACCAACCCGATTTACAATATATTTCTTCCGACTTTTTCTTATTATTAAAATTTCTCACGATTTTTATGCAACTTGGCTTAATACTTCGTTATATGTACCAAAAAAAAAAAAAAAAAAAAAAAAAAAAAAAAAAAATTTGGGATGTCTGAAAGCAATTGAATTTTCTCTAGATTATATCTAAAACAAAACCTTTCAAATCAGATGAGAATTTCTGGTTTGTGAATGAGAGTATTCGTATCGAGAAACGTCTTTCTCCAGTTCTCCAATGGGCATCGAGCTCCACTGTGTGTGTTATATATTAATTGTTATTATTTTCAAGGTTTAAGTTATTTGCTTACTTAATTCAGTTTTGATCAGTAATTGAAGTTATTAATTTTTGCTTTAGTTGTTTAAAGTTGGTTGTAAGTTTAAATTGCAACTTTTTGTAAACTTTAAATTTAGATCTGGTTGCTTTAAAAGTTATGGATGTTCTTTAGTTATTTCATTCATCTTGTCCTGGGTTTGTGAGTACACGTGCCTTCGGGAAATAGTTTTAGAAATTATCATATTTTGTTATGTCTGCGAGAAAGGTGAAATACTCGTGTGCGTTTCAAAAATTGTACACAATTGACTTTCCTTCCATTATTTCCTCAAGGAAATGTAATAAATTTAGGTACAAGGAAATTATAATTTGCGATGTGTACCGTTTGTCAATGCGATTTTTCGATTTCGCATGGTGGAAGGGCGGATGCTCTCAAACATGTGCGTACACAAAAACACAAGGACAACATGAGTTGTTTTGAAAAAAAATGAAAAATTACAATTTTTCTTCGGAAACAAAGGATTAAAAAGTTATTAATGCAGAATGTCTGTTCTCTGCCTTTTTACTGGAGCACAACCTGCCACTGAGTGCATCGGATCACGCTGCAGCTTTATTTAGAAAAATGTTTCCCGATAGTGAAATCGCTAAGAAATACTCAAGTGTAAGGACCAAAATTGGTGCAATTGTTAAAGAAATGGGTTTGAAAAATAAATCTTCAGTTATTGATTGCATTAAAACATCTCCATTCTGCCTCTCTACGGATGGAAGCAATAATACCAATTCAAAACTGTATCCAATTGTTCCTTTTCTTCATCCAGAGTCTTAAGAAATTGACTCCAGTTTACTTTTTGTCTCCACTTTAGAAGGTCATTCGGGCAGCTTCTTTACCAATAAATGTGGATGAACACATTGTTGATATTTATTATTATCTTAAAAGGAGTTCTAAAAGGAAGGGAAAATTGAAACAGTTCCAACAGCTGCATAATACTGAAATGAGCAAAATTTTGAAACGTATGTACACGCTTTTAAAAAAATGCTTATCTAGAATCCTCGATCAATGGAACCCACTTCTTGCATTTTTTAAAGAAGAAGTAAATGCTTCGAGAGTTAAGATAAAAGGCTCTATTGAAAGTTATAAAATACCTAAAGTAAAATGGAGATGTAGTTACTACTTCCATTGTTAAAAATAGGTTTGAGAAAAATAAAGTAATTTCTGCACCATTCAGCATTTCAATTGGCAGTTCTCAAAATAATACTGCAAAATATAAGTGTAAAGCTGATACAAATTTCTCTCAAAATAAAAATAAAAATTGCTCAACACATGAAACATTTTCCGATTACTGTAAGTTTATTTTGTGAAGAACGAATAATTATATTTTTTTCTTCGGACCTTAACAAAGCTTTTTGCTTTTTTTTACAATTCATTTTGCCATCATTCGATGTTCCTAACACAGTTCTACAAAGCAGAATTTCATTAATTCATGTTTTTCAATGATTTATGATCTGTTTAAAGACATTTTACCAAAGTTTGTAAAACCAGTATGTCTTTTGTCTTGTAATTCTATATATGATGTGATTTATGGTGAAATAGAAAATCGGAAGAAAGATGAAGATTAGGTAATAGGAGCTGCAACTACAAAAGTAGTGGAAGAACTTTCAGAAGAAGACAAAAATAAGTTTTATCTTCATGTTAGAAGTTACTTCTGTTGAGTATGTGACTACATAAATTTCCAGTCAACGATGAAATGATTTTGCATGCTAAAGTTGCTAATGTTTCTGCTCCAGCAAATGCATCTTTTTCTGATATAAGGTACTTTTTGAACAGATTTCCTTTGTGACTTCATTTAGTCATGAAAGGTGATGATATTGATGCTGCCACTGATATATTGCAGTCGAATTTTGCAGTTTACAATTAGAAAATTTGGATGGAGTTATAAAATCAGCTGGGATTGACACCTAGTGGAGTTTAATTGGAGGGTGCTGATGGAATTTTAAAATATAGTGAACTGTCTAGAATTATGTTGGCCATCTTGACATTTCCCCATAGTAATGCAGAGTGTGAGAGGATTTTCAGTGTTGTTGCGAAAATGAGGACTAAATTTAGATTAATATTAGTGATGACACATTAGAAAAAACTTTTGTTAGCGAAAGCCGGCCTACGTGGCAATTGCTATGAACAAAATTAGTAAGTTTTTTTCTTAACAAAAGCAAAATCTGCCACTGTTCATAACATTTGTACGAAAACTGAGTGTCTTTTTTTTTTCTTTGTTTTCTTAAACGATGTAAGTAATAAAAATGTTTTTTATGTGTAAGGTATTTTTGTATTGCTTGCATTTAAGAATTAGTAATTATTTAAAGCTAATTCATTATTAAAAACTATATTTTTATCATTTAAAATGTCTTTTTAACATTCTGAAAAATCTCCTGATTTCTTAAAAATAAATCTCCTGATTTTTGAGTGTCATAGGTTGGCAAGTATGTGGTAGTTTAACCAGGATTAGAATCCCAGCGAATGAGCTGGGTATTTTTGTGGTTATCCGTATAAATGACTTGGATTCAAGCTAGTTTTCTTAGTTTTCTTTGGAAAGTCCTTCACAGAGGCATCCTTTCCAGGAGCCCTTTAACTCCTTTGCTTTAATCAATTTACCAAACCTAGCCATTCATATAAATATGTGTTTATAGTTTATTACAAATATGAGTTTTGCCACATAACAAGATTTAAGTGCCTTCATAAATTATTTTACAGGTTTATTGATGAAATACTATTTTGTTGTTTTTCATGCTTTTTGTCTTCAGAATTTTAGTTTCTGATTTATAAAGAAAATATGAAAATTTTTGTCTAAAAATTTCCATTTGGGATATAAATATGTTAAGACATTGAAGACTAAAAGTATTTAAAGCAACTAAAGATATTTCTTAACAATTTAATTTTTAAAAATAAAGCTAGAAAAAAATTATTATTCAAAATTCTAAACAAGAGTTACTGCTGAATGCTTCATTTCAATCGTTGCAGACAAATGTGCAAAGAACCATATGCAGATTATGGTATAACAAAGAAAGTCTACTCTAAGTTGGCAGGGTTATATTAAAGAATTTAATTTTCCCTAACCTTTCAATTTATGTATGTTTTATCTGTAGGTATTGCTAAACTGATTCCAAGTCCTCTTGGAGTTCCTGAGCAATCTGTTGTTCATTCCTATTATGAAAGAAAAGAAAAACTTTGTGAAGAACAAGTAATTATGAATTTAGACATTGAATATTAGCTTATAATACTACTATTTAAAACTCTATGCATTAATAACTTTTGAATATTAGCTTATAATACTACTATTTAAAACTCTGTGCATGAATAACTTTTTAGCATAAAAATTTGTTTTGTTAAGTGTGTGTGTGTGTGTATTTGTAATTAAATAATTTAGTTTAAAGTTAAATCTTGGTTCTCAAATTTAATTCATTTCTGAAGGTCTTTCTTTATCAGAAGTGTTTATAAACAAAAATTCTTTTCTCCAGAGCAGTTAATGTGAAATGAGTTGATCGATTCCTGAATCACAGATGATCTTTTATTTAAAACTTGCAGCAATATTTTATGTTAAGTTCTTAAAACAAATTTAATGGAAATCATTCATTCTAAAACAAAGAAAAAGTAAACACATTATTTAATAGATAAAGAGGAAAATATAATTGATTTCTTCTGAATGTGTACGAAGGACAGTGAATGGTGTAAATAGAAGGTGATGAGAAAGAGATGTTTCTGTTTGGATGACAAGTCCCTTGAATGAAAAACATCAGATAAATGTTTTTCTGTGTATCATTTGTTATCTTTACTTTCACTGTTTTTTAACACATTGGGCCCCCGTTTCAGTAAGAATATGCCCAGCGTGATTTGTTTTTGTCTGTATTTTGAAATGTTTCTGAAGTGTAAATATTAGTATTGTTATTGAAGCTGTTTTCCTTCAGTGTTATCAGGACCAGATTCATAAATGTATAAATGTGTGTATGTATGTAAGATATAACAAAATATTATAGCTGTTTAGAAAAAAATAATTGGCGACCTCAAAATTAACATTCTAAATTTGGATATCTGCCCACAAATTCATCTCTTCTCACAGGTTCCAGATTTTTCTATCTTACGTAACATTTTAATGCAGATGCCTCTTCTCGAATCAAATTAATTGTAAACCAAAACTTTGAAGTGAAACTTTCCCACTCCCAACCTTCTTCCTTCTGAAAGTACTATAACTTTCCCCCTTTTCCGCATAAACTCTCCTGCCGGCAAGATGCTTTTTATGTGTGCTTCTGCCGCTTACTTGCTTAAAACGACATCGTACTTCAAAATACAACTTACTGTATCCAAATACAATTAGGAAACATCTTATCTGCAAAGGGGTGATCTGGTATGCATGGAAAAAAATATAGATTGTGATTTTTCAAGATACGTTGTGCTAAATTGCTTCATCATGCTTTACACTCTGCCACTATGGTCTTCTCGGTTATCTACGCAGTATCGTAAGCTGTTAAAAGTTCCAGTGCCTTTATCTACGCATTTTAAAATCATTATATGTATATATGGATACATATACGTTTATGCTTACATACTTTGTAGAGTTCCTCACTTTGGAATTCTAAGTTTATGTTGGAAGTGAAGAATCTAAGAACTGGTAAGTGAATAATCGCTTGAGTTCGGTGACAAGAAACAACAAGATAGAAGGGTAACTAACTCTTTATTATTCCAATAAGATTTAACAAACTCCGCCTGGGAGTGTACAAGCAAAGCCCGCACATGGACTTGAACTTAAAAGACTAAGAATTAAACTAAAACTCAGATTAACTAAAGAAGTATAGCCGAAACTGTCAAGGTTCAAATCAAGTTGGCCCCTTAACTTATTTGACTATGAAGCTTAGCAACGGCCTGAGTACGGCCGAGCGTAATAACAGCTTTGAGAGAGAGAGTGGCCAAAAAGGCAGACGCGCATAAATCGGAAACTCTGATTCTCTCTGACTCAGTAAGTAAATTCGCGAATACCACTCCTCCTCATTAAATATTCAGCAAGATTCTAAAAGTACGTTCTGGCCGAAAAGTAAGTTGAAGTTAAGAATTTGACAGGAAAGGAACTTTAACTTAAAATTTAACTGTTAATAAAATTGACATAATCCTTACAACATATAGGAACACATCCATTTGTATACATGTAGGAACATATAGGTATGTACAGTCAAAAGTCGTTAATTCGGACACCCATAATCCGGAATGATCTATAATCCGGACCTCAAAGCTAAAATCTTTCTGCGCATGTGCTGCGTTTACGCATGCGCATAGGCGTTTTACTCGTGCGCGCAAGACATTTACGACTGCGCATATGTGTTTGCGCAAGCGCAGAATACGTTTTTGCTTGCGCGTTTAATGTATAAAGGGCGGTATAAGCTCTAATTATCTATTTCAGTTAATGTTGATGATTGTGTTGTTCCTTAATCTTCGAATTGGATCCGGTTTATTATTTTTTGGAGACTGTAAGAGCAATTTTATAAAAGTAAGCTTGAACTTTCGATTATGTCAAATAGAATTTCCGATGCTGGAGCTCCCAAAGGATCTAGAAAACGAAAGTATGTTTCGATGTCCATCAAACAAAAAACGAATTGCCACAAAAAAATGGATAAAGCCATATCCTTTGTTTATCTAACCGTTCTGAAATCTGTTTATCAATTTCACGCTGCTCTGCGCCGGGGGGGGGGAACGTCGCGGCGTGCAATGAACTGGAAGTTGATCTGTCAGCACTATCCTTATCTTCAGGGCAGATGTTTTTATTTTATTCGACTTATAATTCCTTACTAAATGTAGTATTTAATCTCAATGTACTCCGTCTTTGATATGATTTAAATCAAATTCCTCTTCATTATAAATATAACGAATACAAATCAAATAGTTTTCTGGTTGCAATTTTCTAATTTCGGCTATGCGTAAGTTATGCTTCACGCATGCGCGCGTTGAAAGAAATGTTTAATAAAATAAACAAATAAATATTAAGCTTCGTTTTTTTGTAAATTTCGATACCCTTTAGATCATAATTGCTCATTATTTTATAAATTACGGTTTCATATTTTTAATTTTATAATTTCTGCATGCCATCTTACCAGATTTAAACTGATGATCTATAATCCGGAAAAATCGATAATCCGGAATCGCCAAAGTCCCTACGAGTCCGGATTAAAGATGTTTGACTGTATTTACATATAGGAACACATCCTATATGTATATACATACATATAAGAACACATCCATCCATACATGCATACATATATTTCTGGATCTGGTTCTGATAACAGAACAATGCCACTTACATGCTGCTTTACCAGGGTGATATCATTACATGAAACTTTTCACCTTACCCCATTTTGTACAAATTTTACAGGTCAAAGAACTACCTTCATCTTCTCTTCATTCTTCTGCTTCTGAAAGCAGTTCCTTCATAAATGCTTTTTGTTGCTGTGTCTGGATGTGTTTCAATTCTTTCTTAATAAACTATATAATTCATAGTTATGTATTAGTGCAAATATCACCAGATTTTCAGAGTGTGCCAAATGCTGGCAACTATGCTTATAGTAATTCTTCTGATAACCATGCGTGTAAGAATTTTTCAGTCAAGCAACATCACCATTTTCACATGCTTTTAATTTATTGCATTCCAAGTTTATTGTTTTTATATGGAAAAATAGTGATTATTTTTGCCTTAAACTCACTTTTAAAATATGTACTCAGAGAATTTGCCAGCAATAGGGGAAACTATGGTAAAATGTCTGTTGGAATACAGTATTTTGTTGCAAAATTGTTAAAGGGAAAATTGTTTTCAAACTGTGGTTAAATCACTATGAAATTTTCATTAGAACTAAAGAAATAAAAACCAAAAACCAGCATGTAAGTAGATTTATTGATCGATTTGTGGGATATTATTAGTCATTATGCAAAGAATTAAAGTGCAAAATATATGTATAATAATATATTTATGAAAAACCTAAAATTTATAAATTAGAAGAAATAAATTAATACTATCCTGAGAAAATTCCATAAATTGAATTAAAAGTGCCCTTATGACAAAGTAAAATGCAAATTTCTAAGAAGATTAAAAAAAAAAAAAAAATTTTGTATGTGAAAAATCAAATAGTATTCATATTTTGATATAATATATTAATTATTCATATTTTAATGTTTTAAATTGACTTCCTAATAGGTAATACCGTATATACCCGTGTATATATCATTACATGAAACTTTTCACCTTACCCCATTTTGTACAAATTTTACAGGTCAAAGAACTACCTTCATCCTTCTCTTCATTCTTCAACCCCCCTTCCACTTCGACATTAAAAATTTGTAAAAAATAAGAAACCCGCGTATAAGTCGACCCCCCCCCACTTCCGAAATCGATCGAGAAACTTCGGAAAAAAAATTTTTTTTTAAGTACTACATTTATTCAAAATCATCTGAGAAAAAAATGTAAATATACGATAAAAAATACCTTGGTACATAAACAAAATCAAAATCCTTCAACGTCCGATTCATGGTCAGATTCGCCAAACATTTCATAGAACTCTTCTGTCGTCATTGGTTCGTCATCATACATATTTTCAGTCTCGAACTCTGTATTGTTACAATCACTACTAGAGCCTTCGTCGTCATTTTCACTTTCAAAAACAGCATCATCTTCCGTGCCGTCTAGTTCGTTGCTAATACAACATTTTTAAAATGATTTTATAATCATTTCAGAGGGTATTTCGTTCCAAGCATCTTTAACCCACTGAGCAATTAATGTAATATCGGGCTTTTTAATGTTGCCTCCCTTTGTAAATGTTGGTCGACCGTAACTAATCCACTCTGCCCAATATTTTCTAACAGTTACTTTGAAGGACTTATTGAGGCAGACATCTAGGCGTTGAATGATGGGTGTCAATCCTCCCAGAATTACGGCAACAGTCGTTTTTAGGTGTTTTGTCACTTCTTCAGAAAAGTGTCCACGATAAGAATCGTACACTAAAAGAGAAGGTTTTTTGAAAGCTTCTCCCAGTCTTTTATCTCACACATTTTTAAGCCAATCGACTGTTCTGTCAGCATCCATCCATCCCTTTTCGTGGGCGCGAACCAGCACACCTGATGGAAACACAATGTTTTTCGGTAAAGTTTTTCTTTTAAAAATGATCAACAGATGAAGCTTACTGCCGTCAGCCAAGCATGAAAGAACGA